AATAATGTTTTGTCTTTTTTCAGCATAAAGGTTTGGGCAGGTTTCTTACAATAGCTTTTGGGTTTATTAGTTCCACTTTTTTTTCTAACTAATTTGTCCTAAATCGATTTTTTTCTGTTTTCCTTTCATTTAGTTTATTGTTCTTTGTGTAGCATTATGTTAGGTATTAAAGAATTCTTTTCATTTTTTACTGATCAGAATGTTCTATGCTTCATTGCCATAAATTACTTTCTGAGCACATCTTTGACCACACCATACAGGTTCAGATTAAAGTGTGTGTTTTGGGTTTTTTCCCCTAGAAATTCTATAATTTTAGTTTGTAGTTTTTCTTTCATCTAAGAGTTTTTTAAGAGATATTTTTCGTACTCCATTGTATTCAATGTTATAAAAATATTTTTCCTATATTATTAAAATTATTATGATTATTAACTATAATGGATATTGTTTATGCTCTGTAAGAGAGATTTAAAAAAAAAGTCAAATGGAAAGGCCTCTCTCTTTTTCTGATTTTGTCATTATTTTCTAATTGTATTGTAATGTGGTCAAAGAATGTTTTCTTTATTATTTCTACTTTTTGGAGCTTATTGAGGTTTTGTTATGGTTTAATATTTGGTCAATTTGTATGGTCATTTGAAAAGGCAGTATATTTACTTTTCACAGAATAGAGTTTAACATGTTAATCATATGTAACTTACTAATTGCATTACTAAGGTCATGTATATTTTTTATACATTTGACCTGTGATAGGCTGAAATGCATTAATCAAACTTCCTTATCTTTATGATGTTTTTGTCTATTTACCATTATACGCTTACATTTTTGATTGATGGGCATCATTGCCACATTATTTGTTACAAAGGTGTGCGTTGCTAGAGTAAATTACTTGGTATTCCATTGTGTCATTTTTGTTCTGTTTGATATTTTTTGGTCTAAATTCCACCTTCTCTGATATAAAGATCATGCCTCCTGCTCTCTTCTGTTTGCCTTGACTGGTATCTGAACCCATTCTTTAATTTTGACCTTTCTGTATCATCTTGAGTGGCATATTTTTCATTGAAGTTGGGCATTACATTGTTTTATATATATGAACTTCTTAAACATGCTTCAAACCCATTTATATTTATTAACACAACAGATTTGTTTGATTTTAATTTACTTATATTATGTATTTCATAGCTTTTTTGAATATTCCATTATCAGGTATGTTTGATTGGCTTTATTTTTTGTGCATGATTCCAAATTTAGTACAGTTTTTATTTTAGTTCTAGTGGTTGCCTCTGTCAGTATAAATTTATAATTACAATTAAAGCTATGTAACACACTGCCCTTGGTATGCTATCTCTAAACAATACCTTATTTCCATTTAGCAATTCTCTTTCCTTTCCCCTCTGCTTTGTCCATCATCTGATTGTATGCATATTGAATAATGTGTTTCTCATGCTCACCTTTGTATTATTAAATATAATTATTTTCCATTCCTTGATTTGTCACCTTTAAAGAATACTCTTTAATGTCTTGCTAGTAAAGAGGCAGCAATAAGTGAGCATACTGTTCTCCCACATTCTTTCCTCTTTCTACTCCTGAGTTTTGCTATTTGTATCATGTCAACATTTTCAGGACCTCTGATTTACAGATTTCAGTATTCTGCATTTTATGTAATGGTCATTTTTTAAAATTATTTTATTTTTAAGTTTTTAATTATGATATGTAATGTGCATGAGGAACATGCACGTGAAATATACATTAGTTCTATAAATCAATTGCATGAGTCAGCTTGGGCTGCCATCACAGAATGCTGTAGATGGAGTGGTTAAACAACAAAAATTAATTTTTCTCCCAGTTCTGAAAGCTGGAAGTTAGAGACCAGGGTGCCAGCAGGGCCAGGTGCTAGTGAGGGCCTTCTTCCCAGCTGGTTGAGATCCTATTTCTTGCTGTGTCCTCACATGGCAGAGGCAGCACTGGTGCCCATTTCTCTTCTCGTAAGGGTACCAGTTTTATTGGGTCACAGCTCTGCCCTTTGACCTCATTTCACTTGAATCACCTTGTTAAAATTTCCTTCTCCAATGCAGTCACATGGTGGGGGTGGTTAGGGCTTTGGGGAGAGACATAATTCAGTCCATAGCAGCTGTGTGACAAACTGTTCACATCCAAAATGAACACGATGAGCATCCCACAAGCCTCCTCCTAATTATGTCCTCCCTTCTCTGCCTAGAGGTTACTACTACCCTAATTTTTGCTAATTTTTGTGCCTTTTTATTTATGTTTTCACCTCCTAAGTATGTATGCCTAAATAAAATAGTAAAGTTTTGCTTTTTAAAAAAATTCTGTCTAAATAGAGTCATATTTATGTAATCTTTTGTATCTGTCTTATTTCTTTCAATATCATATTCCTAAGACTCACTCTTGTTGTGTGGATCTATAGTTTATTCATTTTTGTTGCTGTACATTATTCTATTTTAAGAACGTAATGGTGATATTTAATGTATTCAATAATTTATGAATGTTAGGTTGCTTCTAATTTTTGGCTTTTATAGGCAATGTTCATAAACTTTCTTGTACCTGTATCCTGGGGCCCATAAGTACATATTTCTATTGAGCATATGTTCCTAATAGTATAATTAGAAGGTGACAGTGTGTGTGTGTTCTCACCTTTGCTTGATTACATCCACTTCTTTCCAAAAACGCCATACAAATTTGCGTTCCCATCAGCAGTACATGAGTTTCTGTTGCTTCATCTATTTCTCAATCCTTGAATTGTCACAATTTAAAAATGTCCTCATCCGATGAGCAAATGATAAATAATCTCTCAGCATGATTTTAGTTCACATTTCCTTAATTAAGAAGGTTAAGAATATTTTCATATGTTTATTGATCATTTAGATTTCTACTTTTGAAAAGCAACTATTTAAATTTTTGCTCACTTTAAAATTGGTTGCTTTGATCACAAGGATATGGAGGGAGGGGAACCCTCATGCACTGCTGGGGGGAGTGCAGACTGGCTCAACTGCTGTGGAAAACAGGGTGGAGGCTCCATAGAAAATTCAAAATGGAACTGCCTTTTGACCCAGATTTCACTTCTGGAAATATATCTGAAGAAACCTGAAATGCTGATTTGAAAGAATATGTGCCCCACTGTGTTCATTGCAGTGTTATTTACAATATCCAAGATGTGGAAGCAGCCCAAGTGTCCATCAGTAAGTGAGTGGATAAAAAGGCTGTGGTACAGCTAACAAATGGAATACTACTTGGCCATAAAAAAGAAGAAAAATCTTACCTTTTGCAACATCATGGATGGACCTGGAGAATATTATGCTAAGTGAATTAAGCCAATTAGAGAAATACAAATACTTAATGATCTCACTTATATGTCGAAGCTAGTGAACAAAATAATGTAACAAAAAAAAGAGTGCATAAATACATAGAACAGACTGACAGCTGTCAGAAGGGAGAAGGGTTAAAGAGCTGGGTGAAAAAAGGTGAAGGAATTAAAGTGAGAGCCAGAGAGAAAGGGGAGTGAGGGGAGGTGGAAGAGGACAATGGGTGGATAAATGGGGAGAGGAAGAGACTTTACTTTGGGTGACGGGCACATGATGCTTCAGAAGATGATTTTTGAGTTGTGCACTTGAAATCTGTATGGTTTTCTTAACCAATGTCACCCCAATAAATTCAATAATATGAAATAGGTTACTCTGACATATTTCTAGTTCATTCGTATAGGCTCATTATTCTGGATATAAACACTTTTTAGGTATACATGTAGCAAATATTTTCTACTTAGTGGGTCTGCTTTTTCACTCTCAAAAAGTTATCTTCTGATGAACAGAAATTCTTAAGTTTAATATACCAAAATTATGCTGTTTGCTGCTTTTTTAAAAGCAGTTACCTTTTATGAAAGTATAGCAATTCCCTGCTAGTCCTACTTTTCTAAGAGCTTTAAATCATAAGCAGATATCAAATTTTAGCAAATAACTTTCAGCATCAATTAAGATGATCACACAATTTTTTACCTTTATTAATAGAAAAAGAACATATTTCTTATTGTGCATGTTTTAATGTTATAGTCAGCAAAAGAAATTTAAAGTTGGAAAAGAGAAAGCTTTACAGAACTCCTGTTATTGTACACAAGCATGTCCAGCTTGACCTGGGGCAGAAACACCTCTCCCAAATGAATCAGCAAAGGATATTTTTTGAAAGTTCCTACATCCAGAAACTGCAGAGGTTCCATTTGCTAACTCAGGGAGATAGCATGATCTCAGAAATATTAAGGTTACTTTGCAGTGTATGAGTCATGATAACTTACCAGTTTCATTCATGGGTTATTTTCTGAATATGCTTCAGAACCATTTGTTTTTAATTCTGTCTCAATTTTATTCCTGCCTCCCTTCCCTGAAGTTCCTTCATGGGTGCAACTAGCAGGTGAGCGGGTACATACATGGCAGGAATTCACCTGCCCAGACCATGGAAACTGGATCCTCTGGGACTGAGACCCCAGCATCATTATTTTTAAAACCTCCCTAGGAGATGCCAATGCACAGCCAAGGTTGAGAACCACTAATCTATAGCTCTTTAAGCCTGAAAATCCTATATGTGTCTGTGAAACAAATTCTACAGAGAAGACATATGACCATTACAAAGCCAGATAAACAATAGGATTCCAGCCCTGGCTGGTGTGGCTCAGTGGTTGAGTGTTGGCCTATGAATAAAAGGGTTGCTGGTTCAATTCCCAGTGTAGGACACATGCCTGGGTTGTGGGCCAGGTCCCTAGGAGGGGGTGTGCGAGAGGCAACCACACATTGATGTTTCTCTCCTTCTCTTTCTCTCTCCCTTCCCCTCTCTAAAAAAGTAAATAAATAAAATTTAAAAAAAAACAATAGGATTCCACACAACCCAAATGATACCCTGCAGAACAAAAAAAAAAAGGGGGAAAAAACACTGCCAGGTGGAGGAAGAGAAGAAGAGGACAAGAAGGGAAGGCTCAGAATGGCAGCAAATCTACTCACTCGATTTTTTCTGGAATGTCGTTTTGGGTCATGCACACACAGTTGACCACAATAGTGACCGTAATAAATGTACTGAACCACCTGAGAGGCTGTGTTAAGGAAAAGCCCAGAGTCACCACGTTTCCCTGGTGGCATCTGTGATCACCTTGAATGATTAATTTCATCACTCTTAGCTGGGATCAGCTTTCTAGTCTCATCACTTAATAACCAGTAACATTTACTGAGTGCCTACCCTGGGCAGCATGCTTTGTCCACATTATTTCTAATACAATTACCCTACAGGTGGATATTATTATCTACATTTTGGGCCTAACAACACAGGCTGACAAAGTTTAAGTAACATTTCCCTGGTCACACAGCTAGCCAACCACGATGCTGGGGTGTGAACTCAGATCCTTTGATAACAAAACCTTGGTGGAAGGAAACAGAATCCCTCCTCCAAAATGTCCTTCTGCCCTGAGGACTTCATTTCACTATACAATGTGGCCTGAAATTTCATCTATAAATGTCCTTTTTTTCCTAAAAGACAAAGAAAACACTCCCAGAAAGTTAGAAGGAAAGGGAGGGCTGTAAGCTTTTATGGGAATTAGTTTAGGCAGATTGCTTCCCTAACTTAGCTGAGGTTAGTTACACTGAGCAAGTGGACTTCTGGCCAGAAATGGTGGAGGCAGGACCAGGAAGCAAAATGCTGGTTCAAGGTGAAAATTCCAAGTAGGACTAGGTGAGAACTCTGAATAGCCAGAAAGGAGAGCCTTAGAGGAGAGGTTGAGTAAGGGATTTATTTACCCAAAGTGGAAGGACACTGAACAGGAAGGCAAATGGAAGAGGGTAAATATATGGGAAAAAATGCTGGTGGGGAAAATCCAGTCATAGTTTTGTCTTGTTGGACATTTTTCTCAGAACTAGCTGGATTCTGAACAATTACTTCCTGAAGAAGAATAAAGCCTGCAGATGAGCTTGACCTACAGAGAGCAAACCACTCATCTTTATTAATTTCAACTTGAGCAGAAGCATTTAAATCTATTTTAGTTTTTGTAAATGCCTTTACTGTTCCCTGTTTTATAGTTACTTAGGAACAAATCTATTTTAAAAAGGGAAATTCTACTAATTAATCCCCATTTTTCTGTTGACTTGCAACTAAAGTAAGAAATGTGTTCACATGGTGGGGGGATGTTAACCCAAGGTTCAACTTAATATTTTCAATTCCACAAATGTATAAAAGTAATGTGATATATTGTGTATGATGTTACTTATGACAGCATTCATAGTAAGTTTTACTTGAATTATAACTTTGATGAAAAAGTAATACTAGGACACTGAAAATCTCATACCTAAAAGAGTATCTTTTGAGGCTAGAGTTATCAAGTTCATGAGATTTAAATATAGAGATGTAGATTTTGATACGTCTGTGACAAAGAGATCCTCAGCAGCTTTTTCTGTCCTGCTGTAAGTCCACTACACAATTATTTACTCATGAAGTCTCAAGATAAAAAGACTATTTGCTGGTCACTTGGTTCTTTAAAGGGATTTTATTTCTAATGAGCTGTTTCTGACTTATCTCTGGGTAATTCAACTAGAAAGCATGGAGAGGAGTTTGAATATTTGCTGTTCTGCTTTATTTTTAATTGTATGTAATTGCACATATATTTAAAAATCTAAAGAGAGATGACATACTGAGAGAATAAGTTACCCAAATTCATTTTCATCAACTGCTTTCTTCCTTGTCACTGATACTGCTCTAAGAAGGATGCAAGCTGGAAATTTTAACCAGCAGGTGACCTTGGACACTTTACTTAATGCTTCTGTGTGTCAGTTTTGTTATCTGTAAAGTGTGGATGTTAGTCCCTTCTTCAAGGGTTTCTGTACCTATGAAAGTGTTGACACTTAGAAGGTATTTAGCAAATGGAAGCCTACTATTATCATTAAAATCCTCTGTAGAATCACAAAATTCAAGATTCAATTAAGAAAATATACTCTCCACTGGTTAGCCATAAAGTAAGGAAAAGGAAATGTCAACACAACTTTCCCAGGCAGCAGTTTCATGTGGAGAAGACAGACCCTGGCAGGGCGACCAGCTCCCTGGGAGCTGTCCAGCAATCCAGCAAGCTGAGCAAGGGTGTGGGGAGAGTCTCCTTGCTAGGAGACTTCTAAGAAGAGGATGGCTACCATCTGCCAGGCAGCTGAGGCAAGGCTGTTCTTGCAAATCAACCTCCTGGAAGCCAGAGCTGAATTTGTCATTAGGAACTTCCAACTTGGACAGTCACCAGGGAAAATCCTTGGAAACCAAGCCAAAGCCTCTTCTTTGTGCTAGTTTGGCTGGCCTTGGAAAAAACAAACCCCCTGCTTGCTAGTAAAATCCCCAAGCCGAAGCCAGCTTCTGAAGCTACCTAAAGCAATTAAGCAATTAATATAATACAGATATTTGACCAATGCATCTTTAATCATTGTATTACCCAATGGCATGAACCTCAGGCTATTGACATTTTTAACCTGCTGGTAGTTTGGGGGTAACTCAGTATCCAGTAACCCCACTGGTTATGGGGTCCCACTGAAACAATTTACCCTCTACCTGTTGTGGTTTGTTCTCTTGGCCCTCTGGGAGATGCTGCTCTTTTGCCCAATAAGCAGCCACTCCCCAGCATAGCCAGGGCACAGATATACTATGACTATTTCATTAACCCAAAGAAGGTTTGGGGTCCCATTAGTCATCTTTATGTTGTAGGAAGAGCAGACCACATATGGTGAGAATGTGCCTGGAATGTCAGCAAAGCTCCCCTCACAGAGAAAGCATTTCTGAACACTTGCATCCATAAGTATGTCCGTAATAGTCTAGGTGAGTTCAATCCCATCTCCGTGTCACACAAAGACATCTTCTGTCTTGGGACTGCCTTCAGGTGTTGGATACATTAAAGCCACTAACATCTTTTTCAATTTAATGATTGAAAAAAGAGTTCAATTGGAAGGACACTCTATTGTTAACCTCTGAAGAAGGTACTGGACTCAGTGGGCAAGGCTTGATTCTAACATGTGGATGAATCAATCACATAAAGGATATGAGTGGACAGACACTTTAATGGCTGTTCTTCTGATCCAGTTGAAAGGACTGAATAGGCCCAGGGCCCGAGTGGCACTAAACCGGGAAATGGTCCTTGTTTTGTTCAGCACCATAAATGTCTAAAAGAAAACAAAAGAGAAAGGGGACCTCTAGTGAGAAACATGCATCCTCACACAATCATGGTTTTTTTTTGAGATTTTATTTAATTTATTTTTTAGAGAAGGGAAGGGAGAGAGAAAGAGAGGGAGAGAAGCGTCAGTGTGTGGTTGCCTCTTGAGTGTGGACCTGGCCTGCAACCCAGGCATGTGCCCTAGACTGGGAATTGAACCAGTGACCCCTTGATTCACAGGCTGGCACTCAACCACCAAGCCACACCAGCCAGGATGCAACGACCATGTTTTTGAGCATGAGTGGCATTATCTCGGGGTCATGAGCAAGAGGGTTCTGGGAACTATGGGTCAATGGGAGCCAAATGGAGAAGCAGAGACTTAGGGAGGGTCAGAGACTAGTAGCCATATCTCTACCTTCACAGCAAGACCTCAGGCCCAGTGGCTGACTGTGCATCACAATAAGCCCACCACAAGTACCCAATGGACAGGTGGCTGACCATGGGATAGCTAAGAAGCATTATGCCCAGGACCGGAGGATGGAGTTCTGGCGGCATTTAATTTCTCTTCTAATTAGTGGATCATCCTTGGTCCTGCAATGCTTCTTCTGTTTTTCACCTCCCATGTCTTCCCTTTTAAACCCTCCTCTGAGCATCTCAGAGGGTGAGAGCTCTTGGCAGATTAGAGGAGGGAGGAAGACATTCTAGTGCCATTATTTTCTCTACAAACCATATTGGAGATGGCTGATTCCTGCCCCTCCCCACTCCAAAACCTGCATACACCATTTTTTTAAGCTGTGGAGAGTACCTAAAGTGCAATACAAACTGGATAATTGTCATGGAACAGCTCTTGTTCAAACTAGTGGTTCTCAAACTTTTTGATTTTGGGATATTTTCATGCTATCGCAAATTACTGAGGATCCCAAAGAGCTTTTGGTAATGTTTATACCTTTTTGCCTATGCCATATATATGTGTATGTATGCATGTGTGCCTGTGTTTATACGTGTATGTGTATAAATACATGTTTGTGTATATATAATATTAGAAATTTAAAATGTAGGAAATTTTAAGACACAGGAATATACAAGCATAATCCCAGTATCTGTTAGACTAATGGTGTCATCTCCATCAATTCCTCTATGCTTACTGCTATACGTTCACAAAGAGTGTGAGTGAAAAAGACAAATGACATCTAAGTATTATCATCTAATAGTTTTGACCTGCTGAACTCAATAAAAGAGTTGTGAGAAGCCGAGGGGTTCTGAGATCATACTTTGAGAACCACTGGTTTAAATCATCCTCATTTCTTTTCCCTTTACCTACTCTACATCCCCACTTGCCAAAAAAGCCCCCCCCCAACCCCTGCATGATCCCTGCTCCCCACCCCCCAAAAAATTAACACCTCTGGAGATCCTTGGTCACAACTCATCCAAAAGAACAGCCAACTTCCTTTGAAAACTACACAATAGTTCTCACTGCTTTTGAGGATTGGGGTTCAATTAGCCTCTCCCATAAATACCATAAAGACTCAAAGAGAACGTCAAAGAGATAAGTTAGATATTTCTCATTGACTGAGTCTAGCTGACAACCACACCATCCAAGGTGCAGGGGGACTCCCTGGGCTGGGTGGGGACAGAGGCTTCCTCTCCCAGAGCTGAGAACAGCCATCCCAGCCAGCAGTCCTTCCCTAGTTGAGCTCTTACCCGGTGTGTACTGTAGTAGGGGTCCAGATCTTCTAGGGGCTCTCCAACCAGCTCTGCGGGGAGCTCGCCATAGAACTTAGGTAGCTGGTTGCAGGCTTTCAAGTCCAGCTGGGGCCGAGTCTTCTCCTCTTCATCCTTCTGCTTCTTCTGCCTCTGCTTACCTTTGGCTTTCTTGGCTGCCTTCTGGGCAGCAATTCTCTTTTCAATCTCCACCAGGGACTCTGGAGTGAATCGACGGAAGTTGGTAGTTTCCAGGGACCCAAAGGGCAATTCCATCTTCTCATTCTTCTTTAGGAAGAATTTATACTCTTATGAGAGTGGACATAACCACAGAGAAGTAACAGCCAACCCACTGGCCCTCTTCCTCATATCTTTCCCAACTTTCTTGCTAGAACATCTCCCCTACCCACTTTTCCTAGTCCTTAACTCACACTAAGCTCTCCCTGGGACCCCACAACCCCTGTACCACTCAGGAGAGGCTGTTAATTCTATCCTACTCCAGGTACTGCAGGGTCATGTCTATGCTCTCCACGAGCTTCTAAGTCACTGCTCCTTCATCATTTTGTAGTCTACCACCACCGCTACCACCACCACCACCACCACCACCACCACCACCACCACCACCACCACCACCACCACCACCAGATTTAGCCATGCTGCCCTCTCTCTTCATTTCTATGACCACTGAGCAACAGGCACTTTCTCATATTCACCAAAGACTTTGGTTCATGATCCACTTTATCTTTAGTCTCATCCTACTTTCTGACCATCCTTTATGTATTGACCTTTTCAATGTTTCACCCCCTCCCTACATTCCATTTGGGACTCTAGGCTACTTTTTTTTTGTCTATGGCTGAAGATTTTTTTTCCATGTCCAGATTAGACCTTATGGGCCACCATTTTTACCACTCCCTTGTCCTTATCCTAAATACCAAGCCTGCATCAATCTACATGAGTATAATTCAGGTTTGGATTATACTCCAAATCCAAGGTGATGGAGAACATCATGCTGCTTGGAAATCATATGGCTTCCTTAGACCTCAGTTTCTTCTAGTCTGATATTTCAAATCCTATTCATCTTTTCTGATTATTTCCTATTTCTTCTTGTGGTAAGACAATGACCATGTTCTCTACTTCATGAAGAAAACAGAACTCCTTCACCTTTGTGCCCCAAACCTCCTACTTACCTGTATCCACACTCTCTTTGCTTCCTTCCCTCCTGTCACAACTAGGAGAGTATCATCCCTCATCCAGGCTAAGGCCAATCTTTTCTTTCTGTTTTGGATCTTATTCTCTCACTGCCTCACTTCTCTGTCCCCACTTGTCTACTGGCTCCTTCCTATCAGCATTCAGAGATTCTCAAGTTTTCTCCAACCTCAAAACCTCCTTGCAAAAACATCAGAGACCTTCTATAGCTCAAGTCAGAGAAAGATCTCTTTCAGTTCTTATCTTGATCCCATTGACTGTTTTGACCACTTCTGCTTCTTGAAACAGTCTCTCTTCAACTTCTGTGACACACTCTCTTGGTTTGCTTAACGTTCTGTCTGCTCCTCCTCAACCTTTTCTTTCTCATATCCTCCCATACATGGTTATGAATCTTGGGGTTTTATGTTATGTGTTTTGAATTTTTGAATAATGACAATAGTAATAACACCAACAGCAATGATAATACTAGCACTTACAGAGATCTCACTATGTATTAAGCAATTTTCATGCATTATCATATGTACCACACTGTGTTATTCTATAAGGTATTATCTCTAATATATAAATGAGAAACCGTAGTGGCAAAGTGAACTTCATCAAGATCACATTACTAATAAGTGGTAGGTCAAATACTCAATCCCAGGCCTGTCTGATACAACCTCCTGAGAGCATCTCATCCATTCCCATGGCTTCAATCCTCATCTACATGCAGAGTCTTTATCTCATCTATATCCTGAGCCTTTATCTCCAGCTCTCATTATGTCCTTGGGCTCCAACCATTTGCCATCTCCACTTGAATGTCTAATGGGCACCTCAAACTCAACATGCCCCAAACTAAACTCATTATCATCTCTCCACCCCTTTCTAATATTTGTTTCTCTCTAAGGCTTTCTCCCTCTGTGAATGACCCCAAGTAGCCTATTTCTGTGCTTACCCTCTACCTGGATATTGTTGTTATGTCCCTTCCCCTATATTCCTACATCCAATCAGACATCTGGTGCTGTTGATTCTCTTTCCTTAGAGTCTTATCTCTGTGTATCTTAAACCTCTTTATCATACTAGTAGTCCAGCCACTGTCATCCCAATGACCTGTTGTGTGTCTTTTCGCTTCCCCCGCAGTCCTTTCTAAGCTGTTCTCCAATTGTAACCAAGTGTTTTTCTAAAATTCAAAACTGGTTACATTATTCTTATTTAAAATCCTTCTAAAGTTCACCACAGCACTCAAGAGAACCCAGACTGTGTGCTTACCTCTCCAGCACTGTGGTTGCTGCCCACACTATTTTTATTAGTTTCTCCTTGAATCTGACCCATTATTTCTTTTAATCATAAGGCCTTTACATGTTCCCTTTCCTTTGCCTGAAATTATTCCCCCACCTTGTTTAACCTGACTAACCCCCTATCATTTTTTAACTCTTGAATTTGAGGTAACTCCTCCTTTTCTGATGCTACATGAAGTCTGTGTTAATATTCTCATTTCATGGTCCCACAATTCATTGCCTTTTCTCTATAAACCTCGCATTTGTAATTGCAGTTTGCTTTCTATTTCTCCCACTAAGACCTGTAAGCTCAGTGAGGGCCAGGAACACCTCTGTCCTGTTTGGCATTGATTCTGCAGGCCATAGCACAGTGCCTGGCATTTAGGTACTTGTTAAATCAACAGTGGTAACTAAAAAATTCAGAAACTGTAGCCCTGGCTGGCATAGCTCAGTGGATTGAGCTCGGGCTGCGAACCAAAGTGTCGCAGGTTCGATTCCCAGTCAGGGTACATGCCTGGGTTGCAGGCCATAACCCCCAGCAACCGCACATTGATGTTTCTCTCTCTGTCTCTATCTATCTATCTCCCTCTCTTCCCTCTCTAAAAATAAATAAATAAAAGCTTTAAAAAAATTCAGAAACTGAAAAACCAAAGGAAATTTTGTTTGGAAAAGTGCAGCAAAAACCCAAATTTAATCATAGGAATATAAGGAACCAATGAAATTATTTGGTCTAGTGACTTTTTTAGGCTGGCATACCCCAAAGTCAAGCAGATGATGGTAGAGGCAGCCCTTGAATCCAATACCCCAATGATGAAGACCCTGCTTACTGTCACCAGTTCTCCCAGGGTCCTGGGAGGAGCCCTCACCCCTCTGATATCACCCTTCCTTAATGCCCTCTATGACTTTCTCCTGGAAACTTTCTCTGCCTCATTCCCATTTCTCTGCCTTCTGCCCATTTGTACTTGATCTGTCTCTTAGGAAACCCTTCAGTGTTAATCTATATGACAGGATTCAACATCTGTATTCTACCCACTTCTATCTTAGAAGTTCTATGTGCTAGGTGCCCATGTCCTGATTAACATGATGTTTTTATGAAATGGTCACTCAAACACTGTTGACTTGATTGAATCCAATCAGTGCCTTTAATTCTTCCCTTTTGAGTAACAAGAATGAAGTTAGCTCTTTCTCTTCTTTGTCTGGAGGAGAAGAACTATTTACATGTTGGAACCTTATTTTAGACTCAGGACTTGGTTACAGAGGAACAAAGCAAGGATTCTCTCAGTGACACTGAACTGATCACAGTGTTGAGAACTGAGCACAGGATGAAGCCAGAATTGCAGGTGCTAGACCTGAAGTTTGAGGTCAAAGCAGGTTTGATGCCACATGTCCACAGTAAGTCTGCTAGGCCAAGGACAGAGTTGTTGTCAGGGTTGAGTAGGGAGATCATGCTCACAGGGGGAAATCTGTAGTGATGTCATGTAGGTACAAGGGCTTAGCCCTTCTTCTAAGACTTTCCAGTCAGGAGAGAGTGCTGGACTTGTGGCCGCTTGATCACTGTGGCCCCATTTTTCCATGGTAGCTGAGACAAACATCTGAATGCAAGTAGTCTATTTGAGAGCTAATTCTAAGAAACTCTGAGAAGAGTGAAAATGTAAGATAGAAAGAAGAAAGCCAGTACTGTTTCTATGATCAGATTATCCCTGTGGGCAATCAGAACTTAGAACAATTTCACTGAAAGATAAGGATATTGAGGTTTAATCCACCAGTCCCACTCTCAATGGCTGAGGGTCATTCCAGAGATGTTAACTCTCTAGAATTTACAGCAGTAACCAGAGAAAGTCCTAGGCAGAGAGAGATGTGGGAAGTGTCTGCAGGTGCCCTCTGAGCCCCTGGGAGATATGGGCAAAGTGCAGATAGTGACTGCTCCATCCCTGGGCTGTGCACAGCTGCTTGTAGTCCTCATTGGGACTCCTTATTTTTCAGTCCATTTAAATGCAGTGGGTGCGGCATGCTTCCTATGAAGCAGCCATGTTGTGCCCATGTATTATATGGAGTTAATTTGGACTTGGGATTCACTTCATGGATTGATGGCTGGGGAGGAGCCAATTCAAGATACTTCTATCCTGTTTCATTCCCAAGCTCAGCCTTGGTTTTGAAATAGTCCACCCAAGTGTTTGCGGGTATATTCCCTCTAGCCCACTAGCTGTTCCTGATAAACCAGCCTCCCTATTTGGTGGACATTCAGCCCTCTCCTGATGAGTCAAAAGGGTGATTTTGTTCCCTTGCCCCTCTTAATGTCAGGCATGAGAGGGCCTTTCTCTATTGCTCCTCTAAGGAGCCTATATCATCCAGAGCCTGCAGGGCTCTCTGGAGGAAGATTAAGCAACCCTAGTACTAAACTCAGTGGTGGGCAGAGATTAGCTACAGGGCCAGTGCTTTCTTCTCTGTAGTGGGATTCCCCTCTGGTTCCAACTCCCGTGAGCCAGACCCAGACCTGCAGATATTCCTCTCACAGCAGCTCCCATCATTCACATTGCACCATCCGTCACAGGGGTTTCAGCTCAGAGCCTTCAGAGAGGATTTATCTAACCCTGCATTTCTGCCAATGCCTTCTGCAGAATTTTAGTGCACTGTAAATAGGAGGTCTGGGGGATAAACAATGCTGGCCAAACTTCCCCCTTGAAATGCATTTGTCAAAAAGCATGAAAGATACTAACATGTTTTACTGTTTGTTTTATTCTGTAATGGAGTGTTTTTAGGGAGTGTCAGTTATTTCTGGACATGGCAGGCAGGTGAATGTCCGGCTTGTGGCGC